GGGTGGGTTTCGGACAAACGAAGGAACCAAGATTCGTAAGTACGAGTACGAATCTTGGTTTTTGTTTTTTTATTATTATTTTGGAACGGTTTACTAACCGTTCTTTCTTTTTTTTATAGGTTCAGGTGGGCTTCCGAGTTCCGAATAATGGAAAAAAAAACCAAAGATTCGTATTATGATACGAATCTTGGGTTTTTTTTTAATTTGTTTTTTTTATCTCTTTTTTATAGGTATCCGGTTCCTTCAGCGTTGGACTTTTAATTAGATTTCTCAACGTTAGACGCGGCGTTGCTGTAGATTAGCATTTTGGAATGAATTGGTAAGTTTCGAATAAAACTTACATTTTTTTATTTTATTTTTTTTATTTTTTTTTTAAATTTCTCTTTTCTTTTTGTAGTCCTCGGTCAGATTTTTAGAATAAGATTGTGTAAGTTTCGTTAACGAAACTTAATTTTTGTGTTTTTTTTATTTGAAACCTTATCTTGTTATGGTTGTGTCACCAGGGGCGCTTTGTCAACGGAAATTTAGTACGTTGATCGCTTAAAAATCCGCGGCAATCCAATTATAACAAGAGGAATTGATTTTTCATTAGATAATTTGATAATTTAATGTAATTTGTATTGTAACTGTATTTATAAATAAATTTACAATTAATGAAATGTTAATAATATACAATAATATATATATTAATAAATTAATACTATTAAATTAACTACATTGCTATACGCGTTTTTAATATCAATATACGCGTTTTTATACATTATATACACGTTATTAAACTAGTGTTATTTTACTGTATGTTGTTTTACACATAAAACACTGTTGCACTACGCGGTTTTCAACATTTTTAAGTGGTGTTGATTGACAAAGGGTTCGTATCTCTACACTTTTTGGTGTTGAGCAACACATGGCGTTTTTCAACACTTTATACGCCTGTTTAAAACTTGCTGATGTTAATTTAAAAATAAAATCAAATTGCTACTTCTTACTAATATTTAGATATTAAAAATTATGAATTTGTTCTAATAAATAAATTCCAATATTTTACAGTAATTTATGAAAAAAAATTTCAATATTATAGCAATATAATTGTTTATAATTTAAATAAATAATCATATTTTTTCTTAAAAAAATTTCCTAATTTTTAGGAATTTTGTGCAATCCTAAAATAAATTTTTTACTTCTGAGAATTAGATACGTTATGTAAATTAGTTAAATAATTTTACTCCTTTTGGATTGAAACCTGTGGTTTGTATAAAATATTTATCAGTTATCTATCAAAACTGTTGCATTAACTTATGTATAGAAAATTAATAAATAAAAGCTATCACATCAAATAATTTTTTTATTGAACTTAAGTTAGCATTTATTCTATATACTTTAAACTGATAATAATCAAAATATTTATTATTATCTATAGGTTTTACAGTTTTTTTTAAAAAGTACTACTGACATTCCACTACTTCATTTTTCTATATTGAATGTATTGTTTTAATTTAAGGTATTTAACGCCTAATTTTAGTTTATTTTAGTTTTTAAAATTAAAGCTTTAAAAAAATTTCTTTCTTCATGTTATTTAGAAATTTTTGCTAAGTTCTCAACATAATTAGAAGGATTTTTAAATAATCTTGATTAAGTTTATAAGTATTTATCATATTTTTTTAGGTTTTTTAGAGTGTTTCTGTTTGTTTTTACAAGAAATATCATTAATATTCTTTTTTTTTCTAGGATTTGTATTAATTAATCAAATATACTGTAATTATAATTAACACTAGTATTCTTAGATTTTAATATATTTAAATTATGTGAATAAAAAAATTTTTTGATTTTTTTGTATAATTAAAATTTTATTTAATGTTTAAAATTTTTCTTACAATATTATTTATCAGTGTAGCTTAAAACTATTTTTTCTAAATATTTATTATTCATTTTCATTATAAAAAATTTCTTTTTTTTTAATCTAGAATTTCCTTTTTTTTTTCTTTCTTTTTAGCTCTTTGTTAATCCAACACTTAATCATACTTAATATTTCATTACATTTTGGTATTCCAATATTGTTATATAAATGGAATACTATCTATGGATTGATTAAAACCAATTTCGTAAGTTGAGATTTCTTTAACTTTATATATAATTCTATATTAGCTTAAAGCATCAAGAATTTTTCTATAATCTAAAACTTTTTTAAAATTTTCAATTATTTTTAATTTTTCATTAGTAAAAAAATTGTGTTTTTTTAGATTTCCATTATTCATTTAATTTGTCTAGATTTTGAGCCTGATTGTTAAAACTAGAATTATATAATTATTATTAGCAATGTGCTACTATTATACCCAACGTAATAAATAAATATATTACCTTTTATGCATCAACTTTTCAGCAATCAGATTTTGTATTGATTTTAAAGTTTGAATATGAATATAAATGTATTTATCAATATATAGGCAGATTTTTTTTACCAATATCCAAATTCTTAACAATATTATTCTTCACTTCAACAGTTGCTATTGTACAATATACATCTAGTTTTATCTCTAATAGCTGGTATTAAATTACTTCATAAAACAATTGTTTTCCACCAAACTTTTTCAAAATAATTCTTTAGATTAATATTATAAAAGGGTTTATCATTTATGATAAATTTTCTTGTAGTTGATAGCTTTATATTAATTTTAATATCTAATTGCGATATTAAAAATTCATAATTATTATGATAATTTTTTAAGATCTTTAATAAAGGATTATCATCTTCAGTAAAATATGTCCAAGTATACATTTTGTTAGAATGAATATGCAGTATATGGTGTAATAGCATTATAAATGACATTAATCCTCCCTTTTTTTATTTTTAGATTTTGGAATTTGGATAGACATTCCTAGAAGATTAAATGAAACTTATATTAAGTTTCCTAAATGTGATAATATAATGATATTAAAGACATATTAATGTCTTTTTTTATTTTTAAGTTTTAGACTTTCTAAAAGATTGAAAAGTAAGTTTTTTGGAGGTAAACGAATGAGTAATGCTGTCACTGGTAAAAAAATGGTCTATCCTACACATATCCTACACATATCTTACATATATCGGGTACTCAAAATGTAGAAAATCATACACAAATAATACACATATCATACACATATCGGGTACTTATATATATAGTNCTTATATATATAGTATACCTATCAGGTACCTGATATATGTATGATATATATATTAGTACCCAATATGTGTATGATATGTGTATTATTTGTGTATGATTTTCTACATTTTAAGTACCCAATATGTGTAAGATATGTGTAGGATAAATTATTTTTTTACCAGTGTGTATTATAAAATATTATTAATGTATTTTTCATATTTTTCAGATTTGGGACTAAAATTAAAATGATCTTAAGAATTCCTGCAATTTGAAGTCATGAAGAATTTAAAAGTTTAATATAAACAACAAGTAAGAAGACTAAAGTAAATATGCATTCTTTTTTGGATTGAGTCTTTTTGTTGGATTTTTTAGTTGGATTTTTGGTTAGTTTTTTGTAGTTATAGCAACATATAAATAATTGTAAATTAAATAAATAAATAATAAATGAAAGTAAAAAACAAAATGTTATTTATATCAATTTCACTTTCTAGTACTTAAATAATGTAAATTTTGGCCGGTATTAATGTAAGTAACTAATAAAACTAAAATATATTTATTAAAAGAAATATTCCATATTGGCTATAATTATGGTAATTACATCATATAACTTGTTCGATCTTCATGGGTAACAATAATTTTAAATAATTATATCTTAAACAAAAATTTTGGTAATATAAGCATCTAAAATAAATTCAAATTGACTTTTAGAAAAAAAAATAATGCGAAATATATATGCAAATCTTATATTGCATAGGTTCATTTTCAGGTAATCGGTCTTTGTATCTTTTCTCTCCAGTAATTAAATTTGATTCTAATCATTTACCTTAATATTATAACGTATTTTATCTCAGTTATTTGCTTTAACATAAGGTCAAGGCGATTAGCCTTCGCTGACCTTTTGGTTGGTGTAGTAAATGTTCCTGCTAGTTCTGATGTGATCCTATCAAACAGACCATTAATAATCATGTTCCATTTTAAACTACTTGTAAGAATATATAATGCACAGTTACACACCTATACATAAGACAAAAATTCAAAGGCGAACAATGCTTTATTAATTTTTATTTGATATATGTGATTAGCGATGTTTTACATTTAATTTTTTGTTTACATCAAGCCATTAGAAGAAATATAAAAATAATACAGCTATCTAAAATAACTTTTCAAGCTCTTGAATTAATCTATTATAGTCTAAATCATCAATTGCACTATAAATATTTCTCCATATATCTGATTTTCCACAATCTTTCCAAAAATTTAAAATATATTGTGCTTGTATACTGATATCATCATAATCATTTTTATTAAAGGGAACTCCAGTCAACGATGGTCTGTGAAGCATTAAGTAGAATGAACGCACCAAACATACTAAATCAACTTTTGGACTATAAAAAATTTTTTTCTTTTTGATTATTGATGACAGGACTTCATCTGGCATACATTTCAACGCTCCTGCAAATGACGAGTCATAATCTGTATCCGTCTTTATACAATATCCCCAGTCAATAACAACTATTTTTCCACTTTTATCACAGATAAAATTATATTTACGAAGATCTCTATGTACATAATTTAATGAATGCGTTGATTCAAGGATCTTAATGATATCATTAATGTCCTCCTTTTGCAAATTATGAATTTTTACACCAAGCGGAGTCATTACAAGAGTATTCTCATTATGAAGAATAATTTTTGGAATATGAGGTGATTTGAGATCTGACAGTTCTTGCAATGCATTCCTTTCACATTCTAAACAGGAAAAATATTCTGCTTTTTTTGCCATTTTCACAGCTACAGATTCTTCATTAAATGTTCCCTCATATACAACACTAGTCCTGCCCATACCAATACATTTAACTAACTTAACAATATTAGTGCTAAATTTCAATGATGGTTTGACCTATCCTAACAAATTTGGAAAGCTTTCCATGATTGTTACCAGATATTTCCATCCTTTATTTTCGCCTTCTTTTGCAAATGCTAAATACTCAGAGTTAATGTGATTATATGTGTACCTGGTGAATATTTCTGAATTTATAGCACTATCTATTCTATATACTATAAATATTTCAATAATAATACAATCTGTCAACACTACATATACAAATTCTCACTTTGGTTGAAGCTGGAGTATTTTTTCACCGAAAGATATTGCTTGTCCTATATGTGTGTTGTTAAATCTTCCACCAACTCGCAACTTTATCTTACCAACGACAACAACGTTAAATAGATCTACGGTTGAACCTTTTTGAATAAAGATAAAATCTGATTTTTGGGTTCCCAGTGATGGCGAAGCATGTGTATCTTTAATAATAAGTTTATTGTTTATAGCGCCAAACTTCTCTAGTGCCTGGCATTCAGATATAAAATATTCTTGTATTTGACTTTCTAGAATATCATTGTCACCATTAGGCGGACTTAAAACTTTCCAGGACTTTTCACTTTGGAAGAAGCGGTCAATTTTAATGGAAAGCTAATTTTAGAACATCTTTGTGCTAAATCACCAATATCAGATAATGTTGAATAACCTAAACAGAAATTGTTAATGGCATTTTCAAAAACGATTAACTTGATCGGATAAATAATATACTTAGTGAACTTATGCTTTCTTCCAAAATACGACGTACTTTCTTAATTTCATGATTCAATTCTTCTTTGACAATATGAGCAATATCTCTCTTCATAGAAGAAAAATCATCTGTTCACGAAAAAGTTTGACATTAATGGTTAGAAAATAAAAAGAGTATGACAGAGAAAGACAAAAAATAAAGCCAAAAGCTAAGCAACACTTTGATAGAAAGAACGTACTAGACTTCAAGAAAGTTCTAAGATAAGTAAATTTCTTTTCATTCGTATCAAAACGATTAAGATCTAACAACGCATCATCTTGCTGATCTTTATGCTTAGTGAAGTAGGAATATAATTCAGTCTTCTCTTTTTCAATCTTAAAGAGACGATCAATTTCTGTTTTAATATTTATGATAGAACCAGACATACTGTAACAATTATTTAAATTTGGATAAAAGAGAGTAACATGAATGGATGAACTAGGAAAAAGATTTTTAGGAGATTTATCAGATATATATATTAGAAATCGATTGTTGTACAGATTGATCTGACTTATCAGGTATGTCAGTTACGCAACTGGCTAAATACAGATATCTGCCCCAGATTATAAAAATCATGGCTTACAATACTTTATATAAAAAAAGTGCTAAACTTAAACTTTAAGATCGTGATGTGTATCACAGTCTTGGAATTTTTGTAGTTTTTACATATCAGGTGATAAGCGACAAGAATATTCACAGTACTTTATTAATACATAAAAAATAAATACAAGCGCGTGAGTACACGACAGAGCTTCTATGCTACAATTGCAAACTTAAGTTTATTGCTTGAAATATTGCAGGTAAGACAATATCTTGGAAATACAATTTTGCTAATTCAGGATCATAAGGGAACTGATTCTAGTTGGGTTAGAAAGTTCATGAGTAGAAGGCTTCTTACAATCAGAAATTATGCATAAACATAAAGATTGTGCTATCATACCTTTGTCTTTATGTGTGATGTATCGTGACATTTTATAGCTTGATATTCCATATAGTGCTCTTTTTTAATAACTAATATTATTACACTTTGGGCCAATAATATTGACCATTCCAGGATTTCGGTGAGCTTTACAAAAATGTGCACTTTTTTCTTCTAAAAGATTAAAAGAAGGGATGGTCATGCAACCAGCTTTTTCACACTGCCAATTTACTACATTAACCATATCAGTCGTTTTGTGACTAATCATATGGGTTGATTTGTTTATTTTTAATTAAAATATTGATTTATCACATTTTTATTATACAAAATACTATATAATATACAGTAAATTGAGAGTAAGTATTAAAAAACTTTTATTTAATGTTATTATACTATAAGTTGGTAAATATTTCTTTTAAATTAATATAATTCTTAGCATTTACTATATATATTAAAATTTTGTATCTCAACTTTAAACGTAAATATCTCCAGATCTAATGATCCAATCGGCAAGCTCTTTTTCGCTCATATAGACCAGATCAAGGGCTTTCTGAAGAGCCTAAATTTATAAAAAAGGGATTAGTGGATCCCAAGATAATTGCATTTAAGTATGTTAAAAAGTTTGTACTTCAACTTTAAATGTAAATATTTTCAGATTTAATGATTTAATTGGTGAGCTCTTTTTTGCCTATAAAGTCTAGAACAAATGTTAGGGTTAGGGCCAATATTAGATTAGACAATTTGTAAAATTTTTTGAATAAAAAAATGCAAAGCAAAAACAGAATTTGAACAAGCGACGTCGTTCGGTCAATTTCTGTGAACTACTGGACGTCCATGTTCGCATTTCTTTTATTTATACTTGCGACAAATCAATGAAACTTATAATTTTAAATCTATTCCAAATAAAATCTAAAGTCCATACATGTGGAATTTATTGCCAAGCACCAAAAATCGTATGATTTTTAAAGGTGGCATGCCTTTCATTGTATAAAGAAATATACATGCAAAAGTTAATTAAATTTCCAAAATATTATGGAATGCAAAGCTGAGCTTAAATTTATCAAAGGAGTAAATGCTGAACATTACGTCAAGGAAAGTTCTATGTAGAAACTATTAACTTAATTTAAAAGTATTAAAAATACTTTGAAATTTAAACTCATTAAATTTTATTGTAGAATGAAACTTGGTGTCACTTGTAGTATGACACGTGGTTTTACTTAATTTTAAATAATTAATATAAAAAAGTAAAATAGCTAAATCAACTGGAATTTCGGTAAATCCAATTTTATAATGGCTAAATATTTATTTAAAATTGGTGTAATATTTATACAAAATTATGTGAAATTGTGTTGAAACTGTTGTATATAGATCGTTTGCATCAATTTTAATTGGTCTCATTTGGGTAGAAGAGATTATTCTATAATTGTTATGTGATTTGAGTAATACAACTTTATAATGTGTTACAATTTTTAGGGTTAGGGTTAGGGTTAGGGTTAGGGTTAGGGTTAGGGTTAGGGTTAGGGTTAGGGTTAGGGTTAGGGTTAGGGTTAGGGTTAGGGTTAG